ATCGAGTCATTAGCATATAAAGGAAAAGAAAAAAAACCTGTTTTCACCTCTAAATAAGGTGTACACTGTTTCTTTAAACCTATATAAGTTAAAAAATTACGACTTCCTTGTCGAAAAATGATAAAATAATAAAAACATTACGATGTGGTTTAACAATCCCATCGCACTCCACCTTAGCAAAAAATATTTTATCCCACGTTGCTTTAAGCAAACCAAAAGCCTTAATAACTTAAATTTGCTCGTCAGCTCAAATAAGTAGTAAGATCTCTCTGAAATTATTACCTGCAATCTAAAATCACAGATACACCCTGTGACATTTAAACGAGGTTTCAGCCTCTGAAAGAAGGTCTTTCCAGCAATCATGCTTCAGAGCACGACTGAAAGATTCAATTTGAATGCAATGGCGACCCGATAGTGCTTGTATTTTTCATGAAAAAAGTTAAGAGTTCTCGCTTGACCAGTTCATTAAAACGTATTTTTCTTGAAGCACTTCTGAGCTACAGCAAAACGAGAAAAAAAGAGTCTAGCTATTTAATTTCCGTTCACGTATCAGTGTCAAGCGCGGGAAAGCGCACTTGAAAAAACTGCATCGCAGAGGTCAAACGTAAGGCACGCGCAAGGAGATCAACTTTTACTGGCCACGCACCCGCTAGCGCCCGCTAATTTTTCAGTATTTAATCCACAAATTCGCTCCAAGGAGAAGGATTGCGACCATACTGAAAGATAAAACATGAAGATAATGATATCAGGGTAGCACTTGTTAAGAAGATGACGCTAAGAAAAACCCTTTTGTGTCTGGTATAAATTTGTCTTTTCAATCGCTAAAGCCGCGATTTTTCGTGCCGGCTAAAGAAGCGAGCCTGCGACAGGGTTTGTGAAGAGTCTGGCACGAGAAATTCCGTACCACATGGTTGCTACCGTTATACGTTTTTGAAATTCCCAGACGTTTCCCTAAAAAAACGTAAAATGTCCTTGTCCACCTGAATTAATAACTTCAAAAACGATTCCTAAAAATTTCCCGTCACACCATTCCTCTCCACTAATAAATCTATGCTTTCAGCAAGTAACAAACAGCGTACATGAACAGACAGAAAGAACTGATTTTCTTGGAAAAACAACGTCACCTTGTCGTTCGATTTCATAAAACAGTATCGTGGCAATATCCAACAATTTTCAAGTCCGTGAAACGTACCCCGTTAACCATAAACATACCTGTATCGCAGTTAGTTCGTCGTAAAATCTCTTAGTGACTTCCAAGTTTTCCATGGTGGGAATCATGATATTCTAAACAACGACATAGAGAATTACAAGGACGAATAAGTCCCTCAAGAAAAAGAGCATCTATAAAATGAGGGACAAAATGGGAGAAGTGCCAGACAGGTTATTGGAAAGAACCATCAATGGGCACTACCGTTTGAACTGTGCAAGTAGTTTCGACTCTTCTGACTTGCTGCCGCCAAAATTATTTGGACTTTATTTTTACGCTATTCGTTTTTCGCCTTTGTCGCTTTTTCATTAAGTTCTTTTGTTTTCACGTCCATTACTTTCATTGATGTTCTAATACTTTTTTTTGTGCATAATTTTTCTTCGTTTGTGTCATTCGTATAAGTTCTTAGCCGAAACTTTTATTCGTTCGGCTTTATCGTTTGACTTGCACCGTGCCATCGTTTTCTTAATCATTTTTTATTATCTTTAGCCAGCCAGGATCTCGTACAACGTTTGTAAGTGTATTTTGTTGTCCTTAATTTTTCTTTTTCATTTGACGATTTCTTTGCGTATAATTGTGGTAACTTGTTATTTCTTATTTTATTTTAGCAAGTGCCTCAAATGTTCATTTCGTGCCAATTGTTACCTCTGCTTCAAATGTATATTTCGCTCCAATTGTTACCTTCGTTTCAATACTTCATTTTATTTCGTTTGCTGAATAATATCAAAAAGTGTGTTGGACAAGTACGAGTGACTTTGGCCCCAATATGACTGTTACCGATCACGTCGCCGACATATCAACTCGCCGACAACCAACTCGCCTACACTATTAGTCAACTCGCGTTCACCATTTGCCAACTCGCCGACACCATCAGGATGTCGGCGAAGTGACCGAGGATGCCATCGAAGTGACCGGTATGTCGGCGAGTTGACCAAGTACGACTGTTGGTAAGTTGACCAAAGGCATCGGCGAGTTGACATGTCACCGTAGTGACCGGGTACCTAAAGTTCACACTGGTCTTGCAATTCAAATTTCAAATATTTCTCTTATTCTCCTACCTGTCCCTCGTAAAGAATTCTGTTCACTGGACACACCACACAAGCTGTTCCTGCTCCAAACATTTCCATTATCTACGAAAGGGTGGACAAAATATAACATTAAGTTTCGCAAAAGAAATAAGAAAGATGAGAAATCTTGAGCTTGGCAATGAAACGGAGAAAGACGTTTTCAACCTTGTCACGAGCGCGGAACAAAGGGAAAAATGCTACAGCCTCCCAGTGAGTCAGACCTTCGGATTTCAGGATCCAACGCTCTTCCACTGAGCCACTCGACAGTTTCAAAACAAAAAGTGGCTTAACAACAGATTTATGATGACTTGAATTAACTTACAAATATATACCAAGGGCGTAGCCGGGGTTTTCAAAGGGGAGGGGGGGGTGTGTGTTACACTGAATCAAACAGAGAGTAATCACCAGTTTTCGCCACCTAAATATTGCAAGTTGTGCAAGTTGTTTGCTTACAAAGGGGGGGGGGGGGGGGGGGGGTGTCACGGGTACAAGCACTTGTATTCTTTCCTAATTCTTAAATCAGCATCACATCTGCAATGAGAGCCTGTCGCGTTTTGCCTATACTTTTTTCCACAAAAACGTTATCATAACTAAATGTTTATGAACTAAAGCAGTTATAAAAGGCTAGTTAGGTAGTGTCAAGAGTGAACTCCTTTACCCTATTTTCTTGTGAAGCTTGTATAACATCGTCCATATTAAATTCCTTTTCTACAACTTTGAATTCTCCCTGTGAGAAAAGAGGAAATACAAACTTAGTTACAAAAAGTATACTAGAATGTACAAATATGTTGTTTTCCTATTTCACGAAAACGTTTGGTTAAAAAAATTGAGGCAATATGACATAACTTTAAA